CTTATCGAGTTGAGAACAATTGAGTGATTGTAAATAAAATTGGTAATCATTTTTTCCTTTTCAATCACTCTAGACACCATAAAAGTTTATCAATGTCTTTTAACATTAAATAAAGGCAATGAATTGCACATAGTGTCCAATACAAGTGCTTTCTTTTTTGTTTTTTCTACTAGTTGTTTTATAATCCCTTCCATTATCAGTCACAACTTGTACAACATTTTCTGCACCAACTTCATCAACCACTGCGTTCATCAAATCAAACAAATACTGTGCATTATGTCGATCACTAGATGTATCAATAGATTTATGAAACATTGTTTGCCCATTACAATACACCTTAAAATTGATGATCGACACTCTAATTGGTCCTGTCCAACCATCACACATAATAGTGAGCCCATATATTTCAGCTTTTTGTAAGAATGTTTTGAAATGGCTTTTCAATCTTCAATTTTATTATCTAAGAACCTCCCCATAATTTCATAAGGTATAGGCCCCCGTACACATTTTTCTGCTTTTGTAGGGATATGATTATATAGAAAAAACTTTGAGATAGCTCTTCTAGCACCATTTCCAAATCCATGGTCATAACACTCATTATTTTTTTTTTGCCCACCATCTGTCTCTATACAAAAATTTGTCCATCTCTTCTATATTAGGAGTGTCACTTTTTGAGGATTTTTTGGACTTGGACGGTTTAAATATGTTAAATGCTTTTTTCCAACTCTTTGCTTCCATTGGCCACTTTGGACAATCAAAAACGTTCGGATACCCTCTAGCCAAGTGATGTTTAAGACGGGTTACACCACCACCTTTCATAATTTGCCCACAAAAATTACATTTGATATGGAGTCTATTATTATTTACTCTAGTACCATATTTCCATCCAATATCTGGGTCTTCTTCCCTTTTAGGTGCCATATCGAATACTCTGTAGAGAGCACTTCATAATTCACGTAAACCATAAAAATAATTTAAAAAACACTTCATAATCATAATCATATTTATTCAATATAAATGTCATATTTATTCATAATCCACATTTCTAAATTATTATTCAAATTTAAATAAAAAAACCAAATGATCTATGGAAATGATAAATTAGCCATAAATTAAGGATATATTCAGTGTTTATGAAAAATTACAATAAGAGATAAATAATTATTATCTATTTTTAATTTTAAAACTGATAGATCATCCATATATTAAGAATATATTCAGTTTTTATGGACAAATCATATTAAAAATTAACTAATTAATATTTATTTTTAATTCTGAAAATTACAAAAAAAAAATTTAAAAATCATATTCGAGTGATAAATTACAAATAATCTATGGATATGATAGATCAGCCATATATTAATAATATTTTCAGTGCTTATGGACAAATCATATTAAAAAACAATTATTTAATATTTATTTTTAATTCTGAAAATTACAAAAGAAAATTCAAAAAAAATATTTGAATGATAAATGTCAAATAATCTATGGATATAATAGATCAGACATATATTAAAAGAATATTTTCAATGTTTATGGACAAATCATATTAAAAAATAATTAATTAATATTTATTTCAATTCTGAAAATTACAAAAGAAAATTAAAAAAAAATCATATTTGAATGATAAATGTCAAATAATCTATGGATATGATAGATCAGGCATATATTAAGAATATATTCAGTGTTTATGAGCAAATCATACTAAAAATTAATTAAATAATTTTTATTTTTAATTCTGAAAATTTCAAAAGAAAATTAAAAAAAAATCATATTTGAATGGTAAATGTCAAATAATCAATGGATATGATAGATCTGCCATATATTAAAAATATGTTCAATTTTTATGGACAAATCATATTAAAAAATAATTAATTAATATTTATTTCAAATTCTGAAAATTACAAAAATATAAAAAAAAATCATATATTTAAAGAATAAATGCCAAAATGCCAAATGATCTATGGATATGATAGATCAGCCATATATCTACAATATATTCAGTTTTGATAGACAAAAAATAATACAAATAATTAATTAATATTTATTTTTTATTTCCAAAAATTTCAAAAAAATAAATATTAAATAGAAAATTTCAAATCTTACATGGATATGGTAGATCACCCATAGGTTTCTAACATATTAAGTGCTTACATTCAAATAAAATATAAACAAATTTTTTAATTTTTTTTCTTTATTTTTATTTTTCCATATTTCTTCATAAAAATCCATAGATCTACACATACAATAAGAAAAATGTGATTTTTTACATGGGAAATGTATATCAGGTAGGTTTAGAGCATTTTCAAGCATTTAAACAAGAAAGAAACAACAAATCAGAGAGATTAGATGAAAAAATTTTGGAAAACTCGTTTTCGCAATATTTTCCAAGACCTCAAAAATCTCCCAAAATCTTCAAGTTTGATTCTTTTTTTTGGTGCAGATCTAGTAGTGTAGACAAGTATAAGAGAGGTTTGGAGTTGTTTGGGAGGGGAGAAGGATTTTTTCGTGAGAAAGAAGCCTTCTCTCCTTGGTTTGAAGAATTATATTTCTGCCCGTATCATTCGATACGCCATATTGGTTCCATATTGGATGATACGGCACCGAAACGCATGATACGGCCCCATATCGTATCGATATGGTACTGATACGGGCAAAAAGATATGACATTTCCGATTTCATACCGTATCTTGTATCGTATGCTAAAAGATATGATACGATATCGATACTTTGATCCTTGCCTAAAATACACACCAAGAACAAGAAGCCTGACTTACGTTGTAGATAACTAGACATTGGGGCTGAAGTGCACAGGGCACCGTGTTGCTCATGGGACAAGACAAAATGCTTTGGGCCAAAATGGTGAAATGTTCGCAATGACCAATTGAGGAGGAGAACACAGAGACTCTTTTTAGCTTAGCTCCAACCCTATTAAAAATTTCAGATTTATCCATTTGGGAAAGCTCACCAAACAACCCAATTAGTAGAATTTGGATTTAGGTTGTATTTGGTTATGTGGGCATTTATTGAGAAAATGCCGTCACATCAGCACCACATAGACGTTTGCATTTATTGCATATGAAACAAAATGAAACAATTGTTTAGTTTCACCGTTTATCAAATAAATGATAGAAAACTGAAACGCTTTGATTTTTGTGCATGGGTCATTTGGAGAAACATCAAGTTCTTGTTTCCCCCAATGCCCAAGTGTTTCTTGAAACCAAATGCTGATTTGGCACACTTGAATAGGTATTAATTTGAGGTGGAGAATAAAAAACGTTTAAAGTGAAGTCCAACCAAACAACAAAAACAGGAAACGTTTAAAATGAAAAAGTATAAATAAATGTTTAAAGTGAAAAAGGTACAAATAAACGCCCTATCTATAATAGAACCAAACACATACTTGATCTTTACAACAACCTCACACGCATTGCAGTCATGCATTGAGAACATCTCCTATACTTGTATGTTGACATTCATAGGGAGATGTTCCCAGTGCACACACACCAGAATCGTTTGGTTTGTGGGAATATAGGAGTTCGTAATCGGAGTCGAAATGGGCCATTCCAATTACAACTGTTGTTTGGTGGAATGACATTCTCCCATTTCCATTTGAGGGAATGATCATTTTCTCCCCTTCCTTGATGAATGAAATCTCATATCAACTTATTCCAATTCCCATTTTGATTCCTGTCTGAACCAAAAGGAATGATCATTCTCTCCCATTTTCATTTCTATTCCAATTCCGATTTCAAAAGAATTTGAATTCCACTCGGAAAACCAACCAAATGGACCCTTATTGAATTGGGTTTGTTTCAGAAAGTTCGGAGGCTGAGACATTGGCCTGCATAGTTCTATCCAGAGGCGAGAGGGGGGCCAAATCAATCAAACTAAAAATAAATACGGCCCAAGCCCAGTATGCAGGAATTCGGGTGAAGAAAGCCTTGCCCTATTAGACGGCTTTCAGCCACACAAATTGTGTGTCCCCTTTCCACTCTAACAAGGGCCATGCCCTTCAATGATCTGAGACGTGGTGATAAGGTTGTGGATCAGACGGTTAAAATTTCAGAAAAAACTGGCGCAGACACCAGTTTTCCCTCCGAGTTGAGTTACGTTAAGGCTATGTTTGGTGCGAAGGAAAAGGTATCAAAACCTATACAAGGTTTGTAAAAATTACCTTTCCCTAATTTTTTTTCCTTCAAACCAAACATAGCCTAAATAAATTCTCATTTTTCACTGTAATCAATGTGTAACCAATCAAGGGTGGAAACAAGTTTTCCGCCCCACATGACAACTCATTAGGGTGGGTTCACACTTATCTTACCACATCAGCTCTGCTCGCCAACTCGCCACCAGATACACCATTCCTTATCCCTTATCCCTTATTTTATCTTATCCTTATCTTATCTTAAGAGTGTGTTACTATTAGGAGTAGATAATTAGGAGTTTGAGTTTAATTAGGAATTCCTTCTGTAATCTCCTATTTAAGGAGCCACGAATTGAAATAAAGGCATTCAGTTTTCCAGTCAAGAAAAGAGTGAGGAGAGTTTTGGTGATTTTTTGACAAATCATCCCAAGGGAGAGTTCGGGTGGTCTCTTGGACAAATCACCCATTCAGTTTCCGCAATAGGGTCTGCCCGCATGAGAAGGCACAAGGGAAAGCAGGGCTTTCTCACCGTGGACTGACCCGTGACGAGATCCTACGTGCAGGACCATAACATATTCGTTATCATCCTCATCGACTTTTGATTTGACCATTGTTAAACTATGGGGTTCAATTCAAAGCCCTTCCTCCTGTGTTTCTAGTATCTTAGATTTTCCCATAAAACAAGGTTTTCTTAAACCAAAATACATCGAAATTTAGGCTTAACTCATTCATACGCCATGGCAATCCAATACTTTTGCATCAGTGCAAATGAAATTGCACCACAAAGGGAACGAGGTTTGAGCCAAACGTTATATATCCTGCAGTAGCTGCAATGTGATGAGCGGTTTAAGATGCATGTACAAGAGAGTATAGTCGACAGTCGTTGTGGCTGAGTGGCTAACCTCACAAGTCACAAAAATTATTGAAAAGTCGTTGCTTTTCCATCGCTCTTTTTTCTTTGGCTCCTGAACGATCGGGGAAGGAACCAGTCCCTGGGTTTAAGGTCTGCTGTCTTCATCCTAATTCCTATCGATTAAGGAATCTTCAAAGTTGAAACCATGTCTGTGCTCTCTGCACAGGCCTTGGCATTTCCACAACCTCGCTTTCTCCCTTCCCTTTCCCCTTCTTCCAGCTCTCATTATTCCTTGACATCGCCTCTTTCGTCTACCGCCTCATCCGTTGGTATCCTTTCGACGAAATTGGGTAAGGAGAGGACACTTCCTCTTCTCGTTGCAAGAGCCTCTGCGTCTGGTTTCAGTGGAAGCATCGGTCACATCCTCGGCGATGTTAGCATCTTCACTGCGTCCGGAGAACCAGTCATGTTCAAGGACCTTTGGGATCAGAAAGAGGTTAAAATCTTTTATTTTCAATTCTGGCCTACACGTTTCTGGATTGGACTGGCATATTACTTTTATTCTGTTTGGAGCTTCTTGAATTGTAAATTCTGCGCTAATGGTGATACTTGTCCGAATTACTGTTGTTTTGGGATTTCACTGCACTCCACATTCATATGAGATATGACCAAAAGTTTTATTCTTTGGTTCCCACAGTATTAGTCTTGCCTTGTAAGTTATCGACACCAGTGTTACTAATAGAAATTTTTATTTTTCCTATGCCCCACGGTGCCTGATGTTTGTTGATGACATAATATTAATTGATGAAACTAGTTAAGACTTCAATGCAAAATTAGATTTATGGACAACTATATTAGAAACAAAAGGTTTCAAAATATAAGTATGAATAAAAACAATATATGCTATGTTACTCAATATGACATTTCCACTACCTTGGTTCAATAATTCATAACAAAGAAGAGTTTTAGGAGGATGTCACGCATAGAAATAAAGAAGGATGGGCTAAATGGAGGGGTAAGTATGTGATAGGAAATTACCACTTCTGCTAAAAGGAAAATTCTATAAAACAATTGCTGGCTAGTTATGTTGTATGGAGTAAAGTGCTAGGCAGTAAAGGAATATTAAGTCCAAAAAATGAGTGTGGCAGAAATGTGAATGCTTAGATGGATGAGTGATAAAACTAGAATGGACAAGGTTAGAAATGAAGTCATACAAAGGAACCTAGGAGGTAGGAGCAACTCCAATATGTGATAAAATGAGAAAAAGTGGATTGAGATGGTTTGGTCATGTGCATAGGAGGCCATCCATCTACAGCACCTGTTAGGAAAAATGATCTGTTAGAAGTTTAAGGAGTTAGAAGAGCTAAGGGCAGACTGAAAAGAACTTGGGTGGAAGTAATAAGAAATGGTTTAGATAATTTAACGTTAGATATGGCACTGAACAGAATAGAATGGCAAAAAAGGATTCATGTAGCCGATCTCATAGAGTTAGACAAGGCTATGATGATTATGAATGCCAATCTGTTGGTCTTTGATTTCTATTTCTTATTTGCTTGAATTTACATTTAGATATATGGGATTATATTCTAATTCACTTGTTTAAACAGAAGACATTTCTCTTTGTTGCTTTTTTAATGAAAGCACTTACAATTAATGTTTGTTCAAGGTGCTTAGTCTTGATCAGTTTGCCCTTCTATATATTTTCATAAACATTATAGTTGTTTGGCATTTTCTTTAAACTTCCCTGTCATCATCTCTGCCCTCAACATCAGAGCCCAATTTCTCATTCTCAGGGAATGGCAGTGGTTGCACTTTTGAGGCATTTTGGATGCCCTTGCTGGTAAGTGGAAACTTTTACATTTCATTGCTACTTAACCAGAAAATGATATTTTTATTCAGGAGACATGATTACTTATAATTTCGTTTCTTCCTTTTTTCCATCTTTTTTGTGTGTTTTCTGAAGCTGGGAACTTGCATCCACTCTGAAAGAGTCAAAACCACTATTTGATTCAGCTGGTGTGAAACTAATTGCTGTAGGGGTTGGAACTCCTAACAAAGCTCGTATTCTTGCTGAACGGGTACTTAATGCTTGCTATCTGTTTACCATATTGTATTTTCATCCCTTCCACTGGAGGATGCATATGATATTTGTTCATTAAAAGTAAAGCATCACTTCTATATGGGTATTACAAGAAAGAAATGAGAAAGGGAAAAGGCAAGGGCTTCTATTAGTTGTAGCTATGTTTGACTCATTTGAACTCCTTGTATTTTATGTAGTTTCGGGTAACATATTTAATGGACATTTGGGAAAGGTACTAAGGTAGAAGGAATTGTTTCATTGTAATTTTTGTAACATTTGGGTGCATAATTTTAAGATCTGTTTATTGATGATAAAAAATATTAGAAGAATTGGAATAATTAATTTCTTGAGCTCTCCTAAAATATCAATACATTTTCCATTATGATTCCAAAAGATTTCAGAAGGTTGCATCAGTATCTTTTGTTTGTGATCAGACATTTTCTAGTAATTGTATATATTTCCAATTATCTGAAATCCATTATAGAGGTAGCATCTCTAAAGTTAGTGACTCCATTCACCCTAGAACCTAATCAACTCATTTGTAATGAACTGCATTTACCAATTTACTGCTCAGTTGATTATCATTCTGCTAAGGTTTATTCTTTGAGCACTTGCAAACGATATGCAATTTTAGTGTTTAATCTGCTTTCTCAATTTGAATATGCATCCCTAGTCTCAGTGTGGTTTTGGCAAATTTCAGGCTTGCATGGATGCTTTTTTTTTCTCATTCTTTTGGCTTCTTAGATAAATTTTGTTGTGATCTCAGGTAGAAAAACAAGGTAAAGGTTGTTATCATGCTTTGTTTGATGCAATGATAGAACTTGGACTTGCCATACCATAACTTGGATACTGATCCATGTTTGATGAGGGAAAAGATTTGGAGGTGTCAAGTAGCAGCTCCAACAAAGCAAAAATAGATCATGTGTGATCATTTGCAGGCTAAATTGTGTTTCATTATGCTTCGAAGAATAACCCTTTTGTTCCTCTTACCATCTTCAAAGCTTAAGCTTACATGATATTAAACCTCACTACTGCAGTCGTTAGTCTATGGTGGAAATTACCAAACCATCTCCATTAATTTTCACTACTGCAGTCACTAGTCTATGGTGTAAATTAGAAGCAGTGTTTTAAAAGGTGTGTAAGGTGTACGCCTGGAGACGTGTTATGGACGCCTTCCTCGGGAAGACGTACCATCGCCGCCGGCAGCAACAGGCCCC